CAGGTCAATCTTTGACAATATTTCTTTAATTAGAGATATTATACAGGTTTCCAAATTATTTAATATCAATTGTGGTTTGTTGTCTTTAGACCAAGAGAAAGCTTTCGACCGGGTTGAGCATGCTTATTTATGGGACGTTTTAAAGGCTTTTGGTTTTAATGAGAAGTTTTCAAACATGATTAAAATTCTTTATGGTGACATTGAGAGTGTAATTAAGTTTAATGGTGGCTTATGTGCTCCATTCGAGGTCAGTAGAGGTATTAGACAAGGTTGTTCATTATCTGGAATGCTATATTCTCTTGCTATTGAACCACTTCTACAAACAATCAGGAAGAATTTAGATGGTTTAAGGGTACCATTGTGTGATGTTAAGTTCTGTATATCAGCTTATGCTGACGACCTAATAATAATGATTAATAAACAAAGTGATATTCATGTTTTATTTACATTGATTGAAGACTTTGGAAAATGGTCCTCAGCAAAAGTAAATTGGAAAAAAAGTGAGGCATTTCTACTGGGGGACTGGAATGATAAGAAACCAATTCTTCCTGAAGGTCTGTGTTGGAATAGGTGGGGTTTGAAATATCTTGGAGTTTTTTTAGGAGATGATAATGTCATTCAAAAAAATTGGGATGGGTTATTACAAAAAGTGAAAGGTCGTCTAGACAAATGGAAGTGGATTCTACCCAACTTGTCTTATAGGGGAAGAACACTTATTGTAAATAATTTGGTTGCTTCACTTTTATGGCACAGATTGGTTTGTATTGATCCTCCATCAAAATTGATGGCTGAAATTCAAGCGGTTTTTGTTGATTTTTTTTGGGACAAGCTTCATTGGGTTCCGCAGAGTATTTTATTTTTGCCCAAAGAAGAGGGGGGCCAAGGATTGGTACATCTCCAGAGCAGGATTGCAGCTTTTCGGCTGCATTTTCTTCAAAGACTTCTTGATGGACCGATGAATGTCAGTTGGAGGGCGATCAGTGGTGTTTTATTAAGGACTGTTGGAAACCTTGGAATGGATAAATCTCTTTTTTTAATGGACCCGAAGTGCTTGGATCTTTCGAAATTGTCATCATTTTATCAGCAGCTTTTCAAGATCTGGAGTTTTTTTCATATTCAAAGGACTGAAAATTTTCATTCCATTTACTGGTTGCTTAATGAACCCTTGATTTGTAATGCAAGACTGGATCTGTCTGCATCCAATTTTTTACCAGGATTTAATAAGACTTTACAAAACTCAGGAATTTTTGTTTTAAAACATTTAATGGGTTTAACTGGACCTCATTTTAAGAATGTAGAAGCTGCCACTGTAAAATTGGGAATCAGATCTGTTCGTTCAGTAACTCGATTTGTGAATAAGTTAAAAGAATGCTTTACGGATGAAGAAACAATGATGTTAGAGGATTTCTTTTCAGGGACTTGTGTCACTGACAGTGAAGATCTTTTTCCTTGTTTGTTGATTCAACCAAATGTTGAAGAATATTCTGGGTGTTTCTTTCAACAAAATAGGTTCTCATCTGTTGATTTTTTCTCATGTGGGCGGAAAGAGTTGTATAGAATGTGTGTGCTCTTTCTCAACAAAAAGACACTTGATAAGAGAGTTGATACTCCTTGGCGTTCGGTCTTAAAAATAGGTGATGAGGTAAGACCCGAGTGGAGAGTTTTGTACAAGCCACCATTATCGAAAAGAACAGGGGACTTGCAGTGGAGAATCCTGCATGGGGCAATTGCGGTGAATTCTTTTGTTTCAATTTTGGATTCAAAGAATGACTCAGGTTGCCCTTTTTGTTCTCAAAAAGAGACTGTGTTTCATGCATTTATGCAATGCATCAGACTAAAAAAATTGCTTGTAATGGTGAAAGAGTTGTGCAATAAGTTTAACGAGCATTGTTGTCATGAAACTTTATTTTTGGTTTTAAATATACACAGACAAAGCGTGTTACGTTTCAGTTGTTGAATTTTATTCTTGGGCAAGCGAAAATGGCGATTTATATGAGTAGAAAAAGCAAAATAGAACAAAAAAGCAATGATGATGTTATTATTGTTTTTAAGTCTCTAATTAGAGCAAGAATTTTGATAGATTTCAGATTTTACAGAGCTATGTGTGATCTTGATACTTTTGTTTTGAAATGGTGTGTTTGTGATGTTTTGTGTAAAATTGTCGATGATGATTTAGTATTGTGTTTTTAATTTTTCTGTTGTAAGTTAATTGTGAGGTGATTTTGTAAATAAAGTTTTTTTCAAAATCAAAAATCTATCTCTCTCTCTCTATCTATCTCTCTCTCCCTCTCTCCCTCTATCTCTCTCTCTCTATCTATCTATCTCTCTCTCCCTCTCTATCTCTCTCTCTCTCTCTCTCCCTCTATCTCTCTCTCTCCCTCTATCTCTCTCTCTCTCTCCCTCTCTCTCTCTCTCTCCCTCTATCTCTCTCTCCCTCTCTCTCTCCCTCTCTCTCTCTCCCTCTCTCTCTCTCTCTCTCCCTCTATCTCTCTCTCTATCTCTCTCTCTCTATCTCCCTCTCTCTCTCCCTCTCTCTCTCTCTCCCTCTATCTCTCTCTCTCTCTCTCTCTCTCTCTCTCTCTCTCTCTCTCTCTCTCCCTCTATCTCTCTCTCTCTCCCTCTATCTCTCTCTACCTCTCTCTCTCCCTCTATCTCTCTCTCTCTCTCTCTCTCTCTGTCATCCATCAGTCATCAATGTCCTTTCAGCTTTTTTAAGAGCTTCTCACTTTTTAAACAAGATCCTCACTGATATAACTATAATGTTTTGGATCGGTAAGATTTTTTTATGTTTTTAAAAGAAGCTGCTCACCAAAGCTACATTTATTTTATTAAAAATACAGTAAAAACAGTGAAATATTATTCTAATGTAAATCAGCTGTTCTCTATGTGAATATACAGTAAAGTGTAATTTATTCCTGTTATTTCCAGCATCATTACTCCAGTCTTCAGTGTCACATGATCCTTCAGAAATCACTCTAATATGAGGATCTGATGCTCAAGAAACAGTTATGATTATTATCAGTGTTCAGTTATTTAAATGGTAAAGTTATTTAAAAAAAAATCAGGATTCTTTGATGAATAGGAAGTTTAAAAGAACAGCATTTATCTGAAACAGAAGCTTTTGTAACATTAAACACTAGCGTTCAACAGTTTGGGGTCAGTAAGAATTCTTATTTTATTTTTTGGGGGGGAAATAAATAAAAGAAATCAATACATCATGTGACACTGAAGACTGGAGTAATGATGCTGAAAACTCAGCTTTGATCACAGGAATAAATTACACTTTACTATATATTCACATACAAAACAGTTGATTTACATAAGAATAATATTACACAATATTACTATTTTTTGTGTATTTTTAATCAAATAAACGCAGCCTTGGTGAGCAGAAGAGACTTCTTCTAAAAACATTAGGAATCCTATGGATTAAAACTCTTGGCTGGTAGTGTGTGTCGGTCCGGTTCTTCCAGAGAAAACTTGCAGCTGCAAATGTGATCCAATAAAAAAATGCTCTTTGTTTTCAGACTTAAGATGTTAATGATTTCTACAGAAGGCGAGATAAGATCATAACTAAATAATCACCGGTGTGGATCAGAGAGAGAAACAGTATTAGATCTGCATTACAAAGGTCATGTTTTAAAAGGTCACATTTAACGCATGTATTTAAATTAATCTCCTGAGGTCATCATGCTCAGGCTATACTTTATTGACAAAAAAAGACAAGTAAAAAAAAAGAAAGAAAAAAAAGATGATTCATAAATGGTCTGAAGCCATTATGATTAACTTCAAATATAAATATGATGCACTGCAGATTACATTATGCTTTATTTCCACATTTTTGTCCACAAAGGGTTCGGTTTGGGTTGTTATTCTGATAATCTTAAAGTAAAATCATTGGGAAGTCCCTGTGTCGGTGTGTCGAGCTCAGCTTGGGGTCTGAGCTGTTATATATTCACCACATCTAGTTCAACATGAAGGTCAGTGTGACGGAGAGCAATTCCTTCTGTTATTAACTCGGTTAGTTAAGGTTAAAGTTTCACACACTCAAACTCCATCAGTGTGAAACTCCTGCCACCATCTGGACACATCCGGGAACTACAACAACAAAAAGTACCATCAGGATATTTTGGACATTTTCCTTGGTATTTTTTCACTTACAAAAAACTTTTTTTTTTTACATTAGCGTGATATTATTGGAAATACCCTGGAATGCCATGCAAATACCATGGTTCATGATTTTGGGTATCAATGTAGGCCTATAGATCAGGGGATTTAGATGTCACTGACTCCCTTATGATCATCATTCTCATGCGAGGAACCAGCAAACTAAAATTCCAAAGGTAGCGTTTTTCCCTGTGATTACCCAATTTATAGGCTATTGTGAAACATAAATAAGCGTAAAATATTAGCCTATTTAGAAAATGTTTTAAGTGTTTTTCTAGTCAACACATTTAAATGATTATATTCCATTTTACACAAACACACACCACAGATATGAGCATGAGAACGGTTACCTGAGGTAAAATCGCTAACTCGCGGCTAGCGATAAGACTCCGTATATTGATTGAATTATTTCTGGCGTTCCCACTGCTTTTATCCACTTAAGTCACATCATATAGGCTAGGCTACGTTTGTGTTTCACATTATAGCCTAACTATTTCGAAGCTGCTTTACAGAAAATTATGCCCTAAAAGTGAACAAGATAGCGATCTCGTCTGTCGTCGTCGACACTTTCTTCACCAGGAGCGTGTCTGGTTTACAACAGCACACTGCCTCTGTTTAATGCCGTTTTTCATCACCTCAGGAGAAGAGAATGACAGCTTTTAAAAAGAATGATTGACAGTTTACCAGGTAAAGCGCGCGACTCACGCCTCACGTATGTAAATTGCTACGGTTGGCGTCGTTTCCGTCAGTTAAACGCTTTTAGAGAAGCACTACTATATTACGATTAGCTATACTTCTGTTCCAGATACAGCCAATGAAAACAGCGAGTCTTATGCAGAGTTCCTTCTCAAGGTAATTTAACTTGTTTCAAGTTAAAAAGTTAAAAAATATTTAAATGCGAGGTTTGGTCCTGATTTTGTTCGTAATGATGCTACATGTTATATATATATAAAAATAAAGAAAACTCAGCTCCACCTCATAAACCTTTTTGTTTAGTTCTAACTTAATTTACTAAAATAACAAAAACTGAATTAAAAACAATATATAGACATATAAAAATAAAAAATAAAAAAAAATACTAAAATGTCAAAGTCTCAATGATAACCTAAAATAACCCTGACCCAAGGCAAAGTTAATGCTTTCGAACGTAAGTCTCTTTAGCAGTGAATGTACAAAATCTCTTTCTAGAGGCACAAAATCTCTTTCTCGGACCTTTACCATGGCTGTTCCCTGTTGGTGGAATGATCTGCCTAACTCAACCAGAGCTTCTGAGTCAGTAGCCACTTTCAAGAAACTGCTGAAGACATATCTTTTTCGGCAGCACTTGATTCAGTAGAATTAACACTTTCTCTTCTCTTCTATTCTATATTAAAAAAATTTTTTTTTTTTTTTAAAAAGCACTAAAATTAAACTGAGAGGGGTTATAGCAGTGGCGTAGGTTTGATTTTGAAATTGGTGGGGACGGGGACATCAATATATAACTATATTTTAAGTTTTGATCGAAATTATTGCTAGGGATATATCAGTGTCACTGGATATTGGTAGGGACACGTCCCTAGCGTCCCTACTAAATTCTACGCCCCTGGGTTATAGCACTTACGTATTGTTGTCCTACTGTTAGCTTCAGTGCTTCTATTGTTCTCATTTGTAAGTCGCTTTGGATAAAAGCGTCTGCTAAATGAATAAATGTAAATGTAATGTTTGAGCGATAAAAGATTCCTGATGTTGTTTTGCACCTCAGACAGATGTTATCGGACAGATCATATTTGTATCAGTTGACTCGTTCGTTGTGAGTTACACTACTAGTGTATATTTTCAGTGCAGCTAATATCACAGCGAACGTTCTGTCAAGGTTCTCTCAAAGCAAACGTTCCAGTAACGTTAATAGAACGTTAGTTCAAACTTATCTGGTCTTTAATAATGTTCTCAAAACATCAGCACAAAAACATTATTTATAGCCTATATCGTTCATGGAGCGTTTTTACCTCAAAGTTTCAGTTGGACGTTCGTCTAACTTTAAAAAAAAAAATGTTACTACTTGTTTCAGAACGTTCAGAGAACATTCAAAAGTAATATTACCATAATGTTTGAAGAATGATACAATAGTTTGTTGCATAACTAAAAAAAAAACATTAATATTTTGAACATTCAGGTAACATTCAGAAATAATGTTTCCATAACTTAATGGGAACACAAGCAAAAGTTCTTAGAACTTATTTTTGTTATATTTGAGCTTCTTCTTTGCTTATATTGGAGCTCTGGATAATAATCAACCAACTTCATAATGCTTTTACTTCACTATGCGCTGCACAACAACAACACAATTCTGTCTGATATCCCAGAAAGAAGTGTCCAACTTTTGATGATATGCTGTGTAAGATTTCGTTTATCTATCATCTCTATGGCCAGGAGGTCTTTTAATAGTACAGACCGACAGCTGCACACACACACACTAGTGCTGTTATAAATACTGAGGTGTGTGTGTGTGTTTAGTTTCAAAGATGGCCGACAGAAAGAGCAGCAGTGGCGTCGGCTCTCGTCAGACCGTAAAGAGGAAAGAGAGAGCAGAAAATGAGGCAAAGAAAGAGGAGAAACCCCCTAAAGAAGGAGAGAAGCCTGAGGTGAATGGAAAGAAGGAGGCGGTGGAGAACGGAGAGGCCGGTGCCGGTGTGGAGAACGGAGGGAACGGAGAGAAACCGGAGCCGATGGAGCTGCCGCCGTTCGAGATCATCACCGGGTGAGTCTGAAAACCCTCGCCCGAACATTAGACGAGGAGAAAACAACATGTACGTCCCAGACCCACAGCAGGAGATGTTTAGCAGCAGGTACGACCTTGGCTTGTGCAAAGACAGAAAACATCTTTATTGGTTCTTTATTGGCATCGATGGTTCCATGAAGAATCCATAGAGCTGTTCCATTGCACAAAAGGTTCTTCAGATTATTAAAGTGTTCTTCACACTTTTAGATTTTTTTTTTCTTTTTAAGAACTTATCACTGAAAGTTCCAAAATGGTTTTTTTGATGAAGCACCATTTTTGGTTCCCAATGCTTCTATAGCATCAAAAAAAAATACTTTTGGAACCTTAAAAGTTTTGTAAAAGTAGTCGATGTTACTTGTGTGCTAAAATTCAAGTGACATTTAAGTCACACTTTTGCTCACAAACTTGCTGAATCACGATTGGTCATGTGATATGCGAGAACCAATGGTGTTTGGGATCAATGACGCCTTCTAGCGGAGTGTGTGAATGTACACATACACCAATGGCAGCAGATGACAAGATTTTTAGGGGAATTAATGAATAATTTTGGGTCTGTTCCATCTTGTGACTTCAGAAGACTCTTTATTGGCATTGATGAAGAACCTTTAACAACCATTGAACAACTTAAAGAGTGGTTATTTATATTATTAAGGAAACGAACGGAGCACTGAAAGTTTCTTCGGGGAGCCAAAAATGGTAGTGTTTCTCCAGAGCATATCTGCGGATCTATTGGGAAATGTGTGAACGTTTGGGTCAAAAGCTTGTGGAGAGCAGATAAATCCAACCCAACCCCCACCAAGGTCGGTCCTGACAGGCGGTGATGTGTCTCGCTGTCTGCTGTGTGTTATCTAAAGAACACACTCTTAAAAATAACGCTAGAGCATCCATCTGGTGCTTTAAAGACTCCAGAAACCAAACCACCAATCGGAAGAACCTGAAGCGCCAAGAAGTTTACTACACTCTAAAGAATGCTGGGTTGTTTTAACCCAATTTTGAGTCAAACATGGACAAACCCAAATGTTGGGTTGAAAATGTAACCCAACGGCTCTTTAACAGAACCAACTTAATGATAATGACTCTTTAGTGAACCTTAAGAACCACTGAAGAACCTTTTTGATGAAGTCCATCAGAGTTCTCAGTCACATCTCATTTAGGCTAAAATAGCCGAAGATTCCCAAAGAGAAATAAAAACAGACCCAAATGTGTCAGTAGTCATCATTTAGTTTGAGTCTCCACTCTAAAAAATTCAATTTTTGGGTCAAATATGGACAAACCCAGCCATTGGGTTAAATGCTTAAATTACATTTTTAACCCAATTTTTGAGTTTGTCCATATTTGACCCAAAATTGGGTTAAAACAACCCAGCTTTTGTGCTGCAAAATGAACGTGGATGTTGGTAACTATTCATCTTATGCCCATTTGAAGATTTTGAATTGGTATCTAAAGCACAGTTGACATATTTAAGAGATAATTGCTGGATTTCTAAAGGGTTAAATGGGTATTTGCATTTCCGAATCCGTTTAAGAATCCAAGCGTGTTTGATAACGCTGATGAGTTTGATTCTGTCGACACATTAAAGCTGTGAATTGTTGTGGATCATCTACTAGCAGGTGCTCAATACAGATCAGCCAGGTTCATCTGGCAGCAAACACACACAATGCCTCCAAACCAAAGCATCTCACGACACACACGGTTCTGTATATGGGTCAGACTCCAGGAATAAAGTTCTGCCGCCGCTGAGGGTATTTATAACCCCGACAGCCCTTCCACCTGTCAGCCTGTGAAGGAGCTGTTTGAAACCCCCACAGAACCCCCCCTCGGAGGCTAAAGACTGGGGAATAATGCAACCGAGATGTACATTTAACCTGTTGACTGTAAATAATCACCCCCCTTTTGGAGCGTAGCATCTGGATGTAGTTCATGAAAGCTTTGGAATACAGACTGAAGGTTGGTTCCTTTTAAAGACACACTCAGCAGATTATTGCAAAAGTCAACGAACATCAATTTTTTTTTATTGTAACAGAAGTTTAAGTTTAGTGTAAAGCAAGTGGAAATGTACTGCACTCTTTAAAAAAACACTGGGTTGAAAACAACCTAATTTGGAGTTTACCGAAGACACTCACCAATTTGACGGAGCTGCACTGCTCGCTCCTGAAGAGGTCGCAAAAAGCCCGCGATAAATAAAAACTACCCAAACACTGGGTTGTTGAGTCTGATCCAGGATCTGGTGACACAAAACTACCCAAACACTGGGTTGTTACGTCTGACCCAGGATCTGGTGACACAAAACTACCCAAACACTGGGTTGTTACGTCTGACCCAGGATCTGGTGACACAAAACTACCCAAACACTGGGTTGTTGAGTCTGATCCAGGATCTGGGTAACACAAAACTGCCCAAACATTGGGTTGTTGAGTCTGATCCAGGATCTGGGTAACACAAAACTGCCCAAACATTGGGTTGTTGAGTCTGATCCAGGATCTGGGTAACACAAAACTACCCAAACACTGGGTTGTTACGTCTGACCCAGGATCTGGTGACACAAAACTACCCAAACACTGGGTTGTTGAGTCTGATCCAGGATCTGGGTAACACAAAACTGCCCAAACATTGGGTTGTTGAGTCTGATCCAGGATCTGGGTAACACAAAACTGCCCAAACATTGGGTTGTTGAGTCTGATCCAGGATCTGGGTAACACAAAACTACCCAAACACTGGGTTGTTGAGTCTGATCCAGGATCTGGGTAACACAAAACTGCCCAAACATTGGGTTGTTGAGTCTGATCCAGGATCTGGGTAACACAAAACTACCCAAACACTGGGTTGTTACGTCTGACCCAGGATCTGGGTAACACAAAACTGCCCAAACATTGGGTTGTTGAGTCTGATCCAGGATCTGGGTAACACAAAACTGCCCAAACATTGGGTTGTTGAGTCTGATCCAGGATCTGGTGACACAAAACTACCCAAACACTGGGTTGTTACGTCTGACCCAGGATCTGGTGACACAAAACTACCCAAACACTGGGTTGTTACGTCTGACCCAGGATCTGGTGACACAAAACTACCCAAACACTGGGTTGTTACGTCTGACCCAGGATCTGGTGACACAAAACTACCCAAACACTGGGTTGTTGAGTCTGATCCAGGATCTGGTGACACAAAACTACCCAAACACTGGGTTGTTACGTCTGACCCAGGATCTGGTGACACAAAACTACCCAAACACTGGGTTGTTGAGTCTGATCCGGGATCTGGGTAACACAAAACTGCCCAAACATTGGGTTGTTGAGTCTGATCCAGGATCTGGTGACACAAAACTACCCAAACACTGGGTTGTTACGTCTGACCCAGGATCTGGTGACACAAAACTACCCAAACACTGGGTTGTTACGTCTGACCCAGGATCTGGTGACACAAAACTACCCAAACACTGGGTTGTTACGTCTGACCCAGGATCTGGTGACACAAAACTACCCAAACACTGGGTTGTTGAGTCTGATCCAGGATCTGGTGACACAAAACTACCCAAACACTGGGTTGTTACGTCTGACCCAGGATCTGGTGACACAAAACTACCCAAACACTGGGTTGTTACGTCTGACCCAGGATCTGGGTAACACAAAACTACCCAAACACTGGCTTGTTACGTCTGACCCAGGAGCAGGGTAACACAACTACCCAAACACTGAAAAAATAGCCCAAAAATTTTTATTTTTCACAAAATATATATTTTACAAAATAACCTGGTCTCTCAAATTACTAGAATTTCAGAGCCATATGTCTAACTAACTTGTAATGTGAAGAGGTTCCAGTATTCAGGTCTTAAAGTCACCCGCTTTATCTGCCCACAGGGATCGCATTGACCCGTTCTTCTACAAGTTCCAGTTCAAGAACGTCGAGTACTCGTCCGGCCGGAATAAAACCTTCTTGTGCTACCTGGTGGACCAGGGCTCGGACAGCCTCCTCCGCGGCTACCTCGAGGACGAGCACGCGGGCGCCCACGCCGAGGACGCCTTCTTCCAGCAGGTCCTACCCAACTACGACCCAGCCTGCAAATACACCATCACCTGGTACATGTCGTCCAGCCCGTGCGCGGCCTGCGCCGGGAAGCTCACAGAGATCCTGAAGGCCAGGAAAAGCGTTCGCCTGACGATCTTCTCCGCGCGGCTCTTCGACTGGGAGGAGCCTGAGATCCAGGCGGGGCTAAAGGCCCTAGCGGCCGCCGGCTGCAAACTGCGCATGATGAAGCCGCTGGATTTCACCTACACCTGGGACACGTTCGTAGAGAACGACGAGGAGCCGTTCACGCCGTGGGAGGACTGCCAGGACAACTACGAGTACTATCAGGATAAACTGGCCGACATCCTGCAGTGATGTAAGAGAAGATCATTACCATACGACACGCTAGAGCTGCACTGTTAGTCGTTAAAAGATCACCATCTTGATTCAAACACCCACCCGATCTTATTCCTGAACTACAATGATTCGGCTGTGTCTATTAAACCTTTGACAAGATCATACCGGAGCATTGAAAGAGAGAGCCGTTATGTTTAGGTATAAAACAGTCTTTTCAACCACACAGTATCATTAATTCTGTCTAATCATTCAGATTATCACAGAAGAACTGGGATAAAAGTTTATAGTTCAGATATAAAACACTGTTGTCTATGGTAGTGATCAAAATAGAGCAAATCACCTTTTGAAAGTAACTTGACGCTTCAAATAACGATTGTATCGATTACATCATTACACCAGTAGGTGGAGACAGAAGGTGGAGATTCGTTCAAAAACGTTGATTCATCCAGTCATGAAACAAGTGAAGTCTTTATTAGTGAGTGAGTCATTGAATCATTCATTCAAGATATTTGTTCAAAAAATGCTGATTCATCCAGTTATGAAACAAGTGAAGTCTGTATTAGTGAGTGAGTCATTGAATCATTCATTCAAGATATTTGTTAAAAAAATGCTGATTCATCCAGTTATGAAACAAGTTAAGTGTTTATGAGTCATTGAATCATTAATTCAAGGGATTCGTTCAAAAACGCTGATTCATCCAGTTATGAAAAAAATGAAGTCTTTATTAATGAGTCATTGAATCATTAATTCAAGGGATTCGTTCAAAAATGCTGATTCATCCAGTTATGAAACAAGTGAAGTCTTTATTAATGATTCATTGAATCATTAATTCAAGGGATTCATTCAAAAACGCTGATTCATCCAGTTATGAAACAAGTGAAGTCTTTATTAATGAGTCAATGAATCATTAATTCAAGGGATTCGTTCAAAAACGCTGATTCATCCAGTTATGAAACAAGTTAAGTCTTTATTAATGAGTCATTGAATCATTCACTCAACAGATTCATTCAAAAACACTGATTCATCTAGTCATGAAACAAGTGAAGTCTTTATGAGTGAGTCATTGAATCATTCATTCAAGAGATTCGTTCAAAAACACTGATTCATCTAGTCATGAAACAAGTGAAGTCTTTATTAGTGAGTCATTGAATCATTCATAGAGATTCGTTCAAAAACACTGATTCATCTAGTCATGAAAACAAGTGAAGTCTTTATGAGTGAGTCATTGAATCATTCATTCAAGAGATTCGTTCAAAAACACTGATTCATCTAGTCATGAAACAAGTGAAGTCTTTATTAGTGAGTCATTGAATCATTCACTCAACAGATTCGTTCAGAAACGCTGATTCATTCAGTAATGAAACAAGTGAAGTCTTTGAGTGAGTCATTGAATCATTCATTCAAGAGATTCGTTCAAAAACACTGATTCATCTAGTCATGAAACAAGTGAGGTCTTTATGAGTGAGTCATTGAATCATTCATTTATTCATTCACATTTTTAATAGACTGCAGCAAGTAAGATTTGTCAGAACTTCTAGTAAATTAAACGTTAGTTTGTCTAGTTGTCTGTTCCGAATCGTGATCTCTGTTTAAAACAAAAAAACAGTCGTGATTCTCAATTTATCCAGAATCGTGCAGCTCTTCGACTCGCATTTCCAAAAAGAAAAAATATGCAATATTGACGCCGAAGCAGGGTTAATATAGTTAACCAAAACTAAAACCGTTACGTTTTAAGAACGTTTTGCTAACGTTCCCATTAAGTTATGAAAACATTATTTCTGAATGTTCGTTGGACGTTCAAAACATCCAGTGTTTTATAAGCGTTTTTTCTTGGTTCTGTGAACGTTAAGAGAACATTTCATTGTATCATTCTTCAAACATTATGAAACGTTACTTTAGAATGTTCTCTGAACGTTCTGAAACAAGTAACATTTAAAAAAAGACGTTAGATGAACGTCCAACTGAAACGTTTTTTCCTAACTTTGTGAGAACGTTCCTGTTCGCTGGGATCTCAGCAATATAACATTGCAATAAAATATGGAATTATTACTAATTGGAATTTTTCATTTGTCAGTAATGACTACAAATATACTCACCTCGCCGTCTGGGATAAAATATAGTTGCAATAAATGATGGAAAAGCTGTATTTTGTGAGGAAGCATAATTTTTAGATTAGCAAAGTTCAGAACAGCATGCTAACATTTATGCGAAATATCGATCTGTCTGAAGTGTGTCCAGAAACGCTCGAGTCTGAAGTCGCTAGTCTAGCTCATATATCGCAGGGATCATTTGATGATTCAGGTCTCGTCTCACTTTAGCTTCCGGTCAAGATGTCCTCGGGGCGTTTGATATACTTTAGACTATTCAAACTCTCGTTTTGCTAATTAAAGCCAGTGTTTTTATGTTTTGCAGGATATTGAAGCACTAGTGGAAGAGAGAGTGTGTGTGTGTGTGAGAGAGAGAGCCCCGTGCCAACCCTTCACTCTCTGCATCCGCACGCGGAGAGACGATTAAACATTACTGGGTGTTTCTGCACTGAGAGCCTGAAATACAAGAGTCCGCTCTGACTGATGGATTACTGTAGGACTGTGTAATTACGGGATTTATACTTTTTAATAATTAGTTTCATGTTTGAATGAAATCACTGTGTTTTGTTAATCTGTTTACTTTTATTGATGTGACATAATTCATATTTCATACTGTTTTATATTCTGAGCCTGTGTTCAAAGAACGTTTTGCCAATGTTCCCATTAAGTTACAAAAAACGTTATTTCTGAATGTTCAAAACATCTAGTTTTTTAAAATGTTTTTTCTTGGTGAATGTTAAGGAACATCATTCTTCAAACATCATGTGAACGTTACTTTTGAACGTTCTGAAACTATTAGAAACATTTAAACAACATGACGAACATAAAACGTTTGTCTTTAACTTTGAGAGAACCTTGTCAGAACGTTCTGTTAGCTGAGTGGAACTTCAGTTTGACTTTATTTATCATTTTATATTCACACATTCATACTGAGCACTGTGAAATGCAGGTAATTCAGGAGTTTTGTATTTATACACTGCAAACTAATCTTAAACTTGGGTTGCAGCTGGATATGAAATAGTTGGGCAAGCAATAAATAAAGATATACACTAAATGGGAAACGACCTTCACTGTTGTTAGTAAAACTAATAAAACATGTATTGTTTTGGTGTGCGGTTCTTCTTTTTGTGTATTATAATACAGATACAAACACACAAATGTTCATTTCAGCATATTTGAGGTGTTTCAGCCGAAATGATTTCTGCGGTTTACTTAAAAGCATCTTTAATCACACACACATAATGAATCAAAAATACGATCTGTTTATAGCCACACATTTAGATAAATATCAGGGAGCTATTTGAAACCCATCACACACATTCTCTGCTGATAAGTAAACAAAACACCATAGTATTTTTTATACATATACCAAGGTAATGTTTTTGGACGTGTACTAACCAAGGTAAATAACAGCAAATGTAAAGACTTGCAGGCAGATTTATAGGTGACGATCACGGGTGACCGTTAATCTGCGCGCGCAGACGTAGGAAACGCGCCAAAACTAGATCCCTTACATTCTAATCAATACACTTGTGTTTACAAAACTAGCGTAGATTTGTTTGTATATTATAATGATAGCGATCTAGTTTTGTTCGGTAAAGCTTCTCCACTCACTCAGTCTCGAGACAGAGCGCATTTAGGCCACGCCCACCGGCGGGAAAACAATCCAACCGTCTCCATTGAGTCTGCATTGTGTGAAGCTGCCTCCTCGTCATTTATGACTTATAACAACAAACAAAACAATGTCTAAAAGCTGCTATGAGACAAGGTGTACAGCAAACAAGCTAAACAACCCAGAAATATGTTTTTATAATCTGTCGACCCCAAAAAACGAGCGTTTAAAGTCCCCATGAATTCAAAATTGACCATACTTACTTTGTTTGCCTAAATTGATCGTTTTGTGGTGAACAATTCATCCATGCAAGTCAATCCACACAAAAAAATTTTTTGGCTTCGTAATCTTTAATCAAAATCTGAAATTTCCCCTCCCCTCTGCGTTGGAGGACCTTGCCTGATGACGTAGGTTTCACGGTTTGGGCGTCTTCTTAACACCCGTAATCACGCCCCTCCAACTGACAGTAGACAGGCTGAATGAAAACACCTACTTTTCTAGATCCAATCAGGTGCTAGTTGGGGAAAAAGCCACGCCCACCATTTTGCCTCATTTAGTATTCCGTTTCTCTCGGAAATACGTCACAACACTGGAGAAAAGTCGTTTGCAACTTCCGGTTCACGGGGACTTTAAAGACACAAAAGTGGATACAGGCGATTGAGAGAGAGCGCACCGTGTCTATTACTCTGAGAACTAACTTACGCCACTGAGGAGAACGTAATCGGCGACAGAATAGCGTACCTTACAGAAATATAATATATAAAACTGACATTTGGATATTTGACTTACCAGTGACTATATGTTTACTGCACACGTAGTGTATTTTTAGTGCATACTGAGTGTCAGGATCCCACAGTTTACCGTTCCAGCCGGTCTCCACTTTTGTGTCCTTAAACGCTCGTTTTTTCGGGTCGACAGCTTATGAAAACTTATTTCTGTTTTTTTTTAGCTTGTTTGCTGTACACCTTGTCATAGCAGCTTTTAGACATTGTTTTGTTTTTTGTTTGTTTAACCCTAATGGATTGTTTTCCCGCCCGGTGGGCGTGGTTTCAGATGATGACGCGTGTTGCTCTGTCTCTATTACAGACGGGTCGGACTGTCATTGGTTAGTTTTCCCGGGAGATCAGAATAGGTGGTTATTTGTCTGCGTGCAGTTCTGGCGTGAGGTGAGGTGTGTACATGTCTCTCAGCAGCGTCTCCAGCGCCCTCTTGTGGCCGGGCTGAGAGGAGATCTGCCCCGGAGCCCGAGAGCGCCACCTGCTGTCTGGGTCATCAGGGGTCACGGTGCGCATCTGGGCCGTGTGAAGACCCTCGATCGCACTGGACAGCCAGATCAGTCTCTTCAGGCTCTGGATGGAGCGACCGCGATCATGCATCAGCTGATGCTCAGTCACCGCTCGTCTGCTGGAGAGAGATGTGTAATCTCAGGACAACCACAGAGAAGATCGAGAGATAGAACAGATGGGTGGATGGATGGATGGACAGATAGATAGATGGATGGATAGATAGATAGACGGATGGATGGATAGTTGGATAGATGAATGGATGGATAGATAGATAGATAGATAGATAGATAGATGGATGGATAGTTGGATGGATAGATAGATGGATGGATGGATGGACGGACGGACGGACGGATGGATAGATAGATAGATAGATAGATGGATGGATAGTTGGATGAATGGATGGATAGTTGGATAGATGAATGGATGGATAGATAGATAGATAGATGGATGGATAGTTGGATGGATGGATAGATAGATGGATGGATGGATGGACGGACGGACGGGCGGATGGATAGATAGATAGATGGATGGATGGATGGATGGATGGATAGTTGGATGGATGGATGGATAATTGGATGGATGGACGGACGGGCGGATGGATATATAGATAGATAGATTGATGGATGGATAGTTGGATAGATGAATGGATGGATGGATAGATAGATAGATGGATGGATGGATAGATAGATGGATGGATGGACGGACGGACGGACGGACGGGCGGATGGATAGATAGATAGATGGATAGTTGGATGGATAATTGGATGGATGGACGGACGGGCGGATGGATAGATAGATAGATAGATGGATGGATAGTTGGATGGATAATTGGATGGATAGATAGATAGATAGATAGATAGATAGATAGATAGATGGATGGATAGTTGGATGGATGGATAGATAGATGGATGGATGGATGGACGGACGGACGGGCGGATGGATAGATAGATAGATAGATGGATGGATGGATGGATGGATGGATGGATAGTTGGATGGATAGTTGGATAATTGGATGGATGGACGGACGGGCGGATGGATATATAGATAGATAGATTGATGGATGGATAGTTGGATAGATGAATGGATGGATGGATGGATGGATAGATAGTTGGATGGATGGATAGTTGGATGGATAATTGGATGGATGGACGGACGGGCGGATGGATAGATAGATAGATAGATGGATGGATAGTTGGATGGATAATTGGATGGATGGATGGATAGATAGATATATAGATAGATGGATGGATAGATAGGGTAGATATATATATAGAAAGATAGATGAATAGATGGATATTTGGATAGATAGATAGATGGATGGATGGATAGACAGATAGATAGATAGATAGATAGATAGATAGATAGATAGATAGATAGATAGATAGATAGATAGATAGATAGATAGATAGATAGATGTACCTCTCATTCTCCTGACACTGTACGGCTGCGATCACCATCAGGATCATGAAAGCGAGTCGTTGAGATCCTGGAGTCTTCAACATCAGAAACATGAGCTCACACACGTTTACCAGCAGAACTACACTTCACCAACACACCACTGCGTTCCTGAAGCTCCTGACTCTCTCGCTCAGTCCTCAGCGTTTATATAGACCTCTGGCGCCCCCGACACAGGAAGTGAC